TGTTCAGGTGTGCATAGCAAAGTTCACATCTGTGCTGGCAGTCAGAGGGGCAGGGTGTAGAAGGGGAATGGAGTTGGCCCCCAGCAAGGGGTCAGAGCCCATGTAGTGAAGGGATTCCAAACTGGAGGCAGCCTGACATGAGGGAGGTGAAAATCCATGGGGGGAGGGAGTTCTCCAATGAGAGTTAGAGCCAGAGCACAGTGAGGAAAGGGTAGGACATGCCAGAACCCACACCAGGTAAGGAGGGGCCCATGTGCAGGGAATGTCTAGCATAGTGCCGGAGAGGGTTGAGGAAGGCATGCAGGAGAAGGAGTAGAAACATTGGTAAGAAATTGGCTTCATACTGTCAGGGTGATCAAAGAATAAATATATTAAGGATCAAGAGCCAGGATTCTCACTTTCAGAGTAGAAAGTTACAAATACTGAAGGGATTTGGGGAGACTAACACAAAATCACTAGCTGGTGATTTCAGTGTAGCCTAAGTAAGTAGCCATGGTGGACCAAGTGAATTCCTTGAAGGAATTTATCAAGAACATCAGACTGATCCAGAAAATTATGATTGACAGCTAGCAAAGTACTCTAAATCCCTGCTTAGAAAGTAGGACCCCTAATTAGAGATGGGGTGGTGACACTTGAAAGTTGTCCAAGAGAACCCCAAGCTTCCTCATCATCTTCCAGGTCCTCCTGAGACCTTATAGTACAGTAAGTCTTGCTCCTGCTTTCCTTTTTTCAAAACCATTTCCTTTGGGAAACATACCATGTGTGGTGTGGAAGAAGTACAAAGGAACAATTGGAGAAATTGTATTGGGCATTTTAATTTTGCTGTGAGTTCTTATGAAGAGATTGTGGTCAAGACGGAACTATTTGAATAGCTCGGCATTAATAGCATCAAACTCTTTGCTAAGATCTTCTCCACCTTCCTCTACAAGCTCTCTCAACAGCTTCTTAGCTCTCTGCATTGTTTCCACAGTGTCCCCTCCTGTTACTGGTGGGGAGCTGGCACTGTCCTGTTGGGGAGGTGGGACCAGTTAACTTCTCTTGCCCAAGTGAGATAGTTGCCATAAAATGTTGTTCCTAACATGATTTTTCCTATACTTTTGAGAGATGTGGATACTAGTAGGACTTCATATTTCACCCTTATATGAATTTAAAGGATGTCTTATATCAATTTTCCCACAGTTGATCCCTTAAGATGGCTTTACAAGCTGAGCACCAAGTGGAAAGAGCAAGTTATGACAACCTGTTTGGTGACAGCAACTACACACTCTGCTTGATCGACCACCTAGATTCAGTCTTCAGCCAACTGCACTGAGTGCTGCTGCCCTTCAGAAAATGGATCCCATAGAGCAACAGGAAAAGTTCAAAATGCAGGTGCTGGAGGTGCCCATATGTGACCCTACCTGGGTGTATTGGAGGGAAAAAGAGTCCAGGCAGTGATTCTGGTGAAGCTCAAGGCTCAAACTCTTTCCTTACTTACATAAGATTTTTGTGTGTGTGTGTGGTCAATTTGCAGTTGATACGTGCAAACTAACTGCAATGTGATTATCTTAACATTGCATGTACATTCTACAAAGTAAAACTACTTATTTTTAAAGATTAGAAGAGAAAAAATTCAATTGTATTTTCAATCTATTCAAGTTTTACAAGAAATTTCATTACATTTGTTCATTTTATTTTATTTCATATTTTCCATCACCATTTATCCCCTCTATGCCCTTTTTCTCTCCTCCCTATAACTCATGAACATTACATTTGTAAATGAAGGAAAAGAAAGAACTGTTATGTTCTTTAAATACAATTTAACTGCTCCAGCAGGAGTAAGATGTGCCTCACTCTTGCCCCTGTCTCTCCCCTATTTTAGGAACCATGCCTGTCTCATTAGCCACTGTAAACTCCAGGACCTGATTGCTAACAAGGTCTGGTACATAATTGATTCCATCAGGACTTGTTGAATGAGGGTGAGTATGCAGATAAACATGGGGGATATACCAGCCTTTCCCTCTCCCACCTACATTGACAGCCATTCCTCATCGTTTCACCCTGTGCCTGTCCCTCCGCATGGAACTGCTGAGCGAAAACCCTTGTCAATAAAATATATATTTTTTAAAAAAGAAGTTGAAGAGATTATCATTGATAATTATAATTGAACATTGATAATTATCTATAGTCATTTCAAGTATACAATCAGAAATAAAAGTTTTATTTATTCAAGCAACCTCAAAAAATATAAAAAATTAAGATTTTTAAGTACATTCTTTCTAAATTTATATTTAAAATATTTCTTAATAAATTCTATAATTTTTCTTATAATCATAAAATATACAAAAAGTGTCATATTTTTACATGAAGCCCACATAGCCTAATCTCCTTCCAGTTTCCTATAGTGAGCCCCAAAAATTAGATCATTTTCTCTGTTTGCCATGATATTAAAAAGGTTGAGAAATGTTATCTAATCCATGGAGAAGTAACATATGTTTTATCTCTGAAGTTGTTTCCATGATCTTTAAGACCTTACATAACTATATACCACAAGCCTCTATCAGTTCAGGATCCATTCCCCCACATACAGAGCGACCATATTGCCCCTCCACTTAAAGAGAACATGGCGTTTGGAATGTCTTCCTCTCCATTGTTTGGGCCAGCCCTTCCTAGACACTCTCTGAGCTGTAAGATTTCAGAGCACTGGGCCCTGAGCGGCAAACTTCACAGATTTTCAATCTAATTCAAGTTTACAAGAAATTTCATTACATTTGTTCATTTTATTTTATTTCATATTTTCCATCACCATTTATCCCCTCTATGCCCTTTTTCTCTCCTCCCTATAACTCATGAACATTACATTTGTAAATGAAGGAAAAGAAAGAACTGTTATGTTCTTTAAATACAATTTAAAAGAGTGGGAATGAAAAAGATTTTAAAATTTGTGTCACTTACTCATGCAACTAAAATATCTTACCAATGGTGACTATCAAGAAATTGAAGAGATACCCTGACCGGTTTGGCTCAGTGGATAGAGCCTAATGTTATCTAATCCATGGAGAAGTAACATATGTTTTATCCCTGAAGTTGTTTCCATGATCTTTAAGACCTTACATAACTATATACCACAAGCCTCTATCAGTTCAGGATCCATTCCCCCACATACAGAGCGACCATATTGCCCCTCCACTTAAAGAGAACATGGCGTTTGGAATGTCTTCCTCTCCATTGTTTGGGCCAGCCCTTCCTAGACACTCTCTGAGCTGTAAGATTTCTGAGCCCTGGGCCCTGAGCGGCAAACTTCACAGACATGACCACCAAATTCTCAGTTGTAGTGTTATAGCTTCTTCCTCGGTACTACTACTAATTTATATCTTTTGAAAGAGGTATCAGAAGCCTACCTAATTCCTAGGAGAGGGATTGAGGCTGGAAGTGATAGAAGCAACCTCCTTTTCCTGTTGGTATGAGGTAGAGACCCCTAAGCTCCTGGACCCTCTAGAAACAAGGTCCTGTCTCTGGATCACCAGAAACTATGTACAGAACGTGTATATTTGGGAGTGAGTCATCAGCATGTAGATAGTAGCTGGAACCATGAGATTATAAGAAATCTCATAGGGAGATTATAGTATAAAGTGGGATGAGAAAAGGATCCAGGACAGGGCCCTGGGGGAGGTGCAGTTGAGCTGTAGGGTAAAGAGGAACAGCAAAGAGGACAGAGTTGGAGCAGACATAAATGCATAAGGAGCAGAAAGACTGGAAGTGTGAGTGCCCTGAGTAGTCCTGAAAATCAAGGGTCCCAACACTCATAAAGGAGCAAGAATCTTACTCTGTCCTTCACTTTAATCCCATAGATAAGATGAGCCCCTTACCTGTCCAATAGTGAGATTCCTGTGTTCCTTTCTTTCTCTGCCCCTTGACTTAAGTCTCAGAGTTCTCTTTTTATATCTCCCCTCATTACAGTGTTTCTCTCCTTTTCCAATGAGTCATGGGCACAACGCCTTGGGATCACCCTGCCTCAATGACCTGAGGAGGCAGCGAGTCTCTTCAATTTATCAAGGCAGCCTCAACTCACTCTTCCTCTGCTTCCAGATGTTCATATTGGTTGCAGGTAGGAATCCTTATATGGGAGTCTGATTCTCTGATATGAAAGGGGAAGGAAAAGGTGAAATGGAGGGAAGCTGGAAGACAAAGTTCGACAAAAATACAATGCTACTTTCAACAACAAAGCTTTGAAAAAAGAAAAACAAAACAAAATACAAATGTTATGAGATCCTGGGAAAGGTAACAAAATTAACTTTATTTCACTTATTAAGTATCAGGCAGTGTACTGGCATTTTTACTTGTATCTCCTGGTCCAGGCCTGCTGATGCGTGTGTGTGTGTGTATGTGTGTGGTGTGTGTGTGTACACCTGAGTACAAATGTACAAAGGTGCGTATGGTGGAGCAAAGATTGAAAGAAAATAAAAGAGCCTTGTATGGTAATAAAGAAGCATAAGTTCTTAGAGCCCCAAGATAATGTAGAATAATTTTGGAAAAAATTAGCTTGTATGCCCCAATTTCTCATCTCATGCTCCTGGCAAACATTATCAATGATTCTCACATATCTTTATCACTGAGCTGCTTCAGATTTTTTCTCAACACAGTCATCCAACTAACCATTCAGAGCCATCAGAATTCCTCCCTCCTACTGACAAGGACAGAACCTGACCTGAAGGAGCCAGCATGCCTATTCCCATCTCCTGCAGTCACATTCCTCAGGTCCCTCCCCACAGGGTGAGTTAAGTGAGGAGCTTAGGGCCCAGTTTTTATTTTTTTAATTTTGACATGAGTAAATGTTTTTCATTAAAGGGAGAAAGAGAAAGAGAGAGAGAGAGAGAAAGAGAGAGAGAGAGAGAGAGAGAGAGAGAGAGAGAGAGAGAGAGAGAGCCATTGATGTAAGAGAAACATCAATTGTTTTCCTCACCTATGTGCCCCAAAGGGGGACTGTAATCAAACCCACTACCTGGGTATATGCCCTAATTGGGAATCAAACTCAATACCTTTGTCTGTATGGGATGATGCTCCAGCTAGTGCTAGGGCTCAAGATTTAAAGGAGAACTTGCTTTCAGGATTTTTCAGACCCTGAAACTATACCCCAAAAGTGAGTGCCTTCTCAAATTTGTGCCCTAAGTCTTTTGCTTGCCTCATTTAGCAAGGCCTAGACCTCCTATTTCCAACATCTACAACTATCTACTAGCTCTGTGTGTATATTCAGGTCAGAAAAGAGACCCCCAACATCCAGCAACTCTCTCCTTTCAGACCTGGTCCCCAATAGTTGGTTATGATGAAAATAGCCAATCATGTATGTAGTCAACACCCTTTCATCAGACCAAATGCTGCCTCCTGTTGCCCCTGACTCTATCTCTATTTTCTTTTTAGGAGCATTCCAAGTCCAAGGGCCCCAAGAACCTGTGGTGGCCATGCTGGGTGGTGAAGCTGAGCTTCCCTGCATCCTCACACCTCGTCAAAGTATTAAATACATGAAAATAAGCTGGACCCAATGCTTACCTTCCCAGGTGGTGCACCTGTATGAGGATGGGAAGGACAAGCCTGAGAAAGTCATGGGAGAGTATTTAGGGAGGACACAGCTTATGAAAAATGCCATGCATAAGGGGATCGTGACCCTGAGAATCCTCAATGTCCAACCCTCTGACAATAAGCAGTATCGCTGTGTGATCCAATATGGCTCCTTCTACAGTGAAGCAGTGATTGAGCTGAAAGTGGCAGGTAATGGCCCATGTTTATCCCCCTTGACACCCCATAGGGGTCAGTTTATTCCGGGATGGGCTCCTTTCTCTGATCCAATTTTCCTGGGAAATATAAAGAAGTCATAGGAGAAATTGAGATGGTCATTATTCTACTCACCCCATCATCCACTGCTTAGGGCTAAATAAAAGATAATAAAGAAATCTCATAGTGGGAGTCAAGAAATAGGCAGGGGCCATTTGCGTTGGAACCCTTTCTAACCCAGGAGTCTAGGTCCCCATCCTTTGTTGCCAAAACTTCTTCAGAGACCCAGTTTCCCATTTTAGTTCTGTTTTGAGGGCTAGTCAGCAGCAAAAACTCTTCAGAAGCAGGGTAGGGATGTGTGTGTGCAGGAAAATGAGCTTAGGACCTGACTTCTCCCTCTTCCTCTTCCCAGCTCTCGGCTCACATCCTCAGTTACTTGTGGAAGTCACTGAGTCCAGCAAACTCCGATTAGAGTGCAAGTCAGAGGGCTGGTTCCCTCAGCCAAAGGTCCAGTGGATGGACTCTGAGGGGGGAGAAATTCCAGCTGAGTCTGAGACTCGGCAGCCCTAAGCACATAAACTTGGTTCTGCTCTCTTCATCATACCCACACCAGTCTTCCTGCCAGGAGCCAACTTACTTTCTCTTTTTCTAACTTCTTCCATCCTTTCCTGACATATTTTCCAGTCTTCACCTACTTAACCTCTCCATGGAACTGGATCTCTGTTCTTATCCATTTAGGCTGGTATAACAAAATACCATAGACTAGGTGGCTTATAAATGACATATATTTATTTCTCACAGTTCTGAAGACTGTAAGTTCAATATCAGGGTGTCAGCATAGTCAGGTTCTGGTAAAAGCCCTCTTGCAACAGCCAACCTTTCCTTGTGTCCTCAGATGGTAGAAGGGATAGGGAGCTGGAGGGGGATATAGGGTGATCACTTTTATAAGGACACTAATCCCACTCATGAGTTAAGGACCTCACATTGGGCAATAGGATTTCAGCATATGAATATTAAGGGGACATAGGCATTCCAACCACAGCACTCTTTACCAAAAACTACTTTCAGACTTACTCCTTACTAGCTCTCCAATAGGTCAATCTACTCTGCTTCTCAGTTTACAACGTTTCTCCTCAGTGTTTTTGTGCTGTATTTTCTCTCTATTTAGATGTGCTGTTGCAAAAATGCTATGAGCCTAAATGTAGATCAACTATCTTTTGACATGCAATATGATTATGATATACCTTGCTGTACATATATATTTCACTTCTTTCCTGATTTCTGCCAGGCACAATTAATTGTCTTGCCACAATTTTCTTAATTTTTATATTTCTGATTTGTGATATATCTTCATTAATAATTTTTGAAATCATAACTAAATATTTGACTATAATATTCATCTATGCTATGGCAGCATTTACCTAGTAAATCTTGATTACCCTTTTTATCATTTTTCCATGTATAACCTTTGTACTGTTCCTATGCCAATCTTATCGTCTTACTTTTTATTCCATGCATTGAGCTTCCCTGGGCCAGCTATTTCCACAAGTCTCTTATGAGGTTGGAAGGGTAGCGTAGTCTTCCACAGTAGCTAATTCTCACAATCCCACTGCTACCACAGAGGCAGGCTTCTTCCTACCAATATGGCCCACATGTGTGAATATTTGCATAGTCCATGCCCTGTTTCTTCAGACAAAAATAATTCAGAATGAACACCTCAGTTCTTAAGTCATTTTTTACATACAAGCATGTAGCTTTTGATCTTTAAGGTATGCCTCTCTCCTCAATGAGTCTTTTTTGTTAGTACTTTCTGACATTTGCTATTGTGTGGTCTTCTAATCATTCTCCACACCTCTCTTCATATCTCCCACATGGAGTCTAGGTGATCATAGCTATTTTTAGAAGATGTTACACCTATTTTAAAGTCTGGTGTTTGCAGTTTTGTTTCTTCACTTAGTTCTATTTTTGCTGATATTTTATTTCCAAGAAAAAAATGGCTATGAGAGCAAGAGGAGAAAAGTGGAGTCAAAGTGAAGACCTACATAATGTGTCCTCTCTCTAGCTCTTAAATTTCATCCCTGTTTATTTCCTTCTCTCTCTTATTGAGCACGGGCCTTTTCATTTGCTGTCACCTCTGACTGGAACACTCCATTCTGGCTTTCTTCTTAGTATAATTTATTTATAATTTGAGAAGGTGACAAGGTGGAGTCACACTACAATCCTGCTATTTCTATAGCTCCAGTCTTTCTCTTCTCCATCCATACTCACTCTTCATTGCTTCATTCCTTCCTTCCCGGCTGTGACTTTACCTCCTCCCCCATAAACACACACAAACACACTGAATTATTTACCTAGATTATAAAGGAAAACTCAACTTTCTCTAACTCCTTCCTCCAAATTTGCCTATCCAGACCCATCAAAGCCTCAGCTGAACTAAGGGCCTTTCATCTAGTAACCTTAGTCCTTAGAAAGATGTTAAAATAAAAGGGTGATGAAAATAACGTGTACCTGCCAGTACAATATCCACATAAATTCCAAAGAACAAGTCAAAAGACACTGACAGTTGGGAACAAGGCTTGTCTAAGGCAATCTGTCCATCCAAACAAAGTGTAGCTGAGCACAAAACTCTCACCAAATTCAAGTTCTCCTGGCCCAGAATTATTTTCAGAAAAAGGAAAGATTAACTGGGATGGAGTTTAATTACATAGGTCAAATTACGTAGGTCTTCACTTTGAATCCACTTTTCTCCATTTGCTCTCATGGCCATTTCTGGATATGTCATCGCCTACAAATTGCCCCTCATCTGACTTAAATGCAAACTTTTATATTCCTAATATAAATATGGCTGCATAAGACAGTGTCCATATCAATGTACCCAATTTCTATGTGGTAGTTTTTCACTTATGCTCTCTATTATTTACCTGAATAACTACTACTTATTCTCTAGTCTTGGATTAAATATTACTTCCTTAGAGAGTGTTTTTTTTTTTTTTACTGCCCCTCTGGCTGAATTAGGTTCCAGAATTATTCCCTTTAATGGTACCCTGCTGTTTTCATAATTGGTACCAAACAAATGCAATTTTACATATATTTCCTTGTGGATTTGTATGTATTATTTGTGTCACTCAGCATGCAGTAAGGTTCTTGAAGATGGGGACATGATTTTTTTAAATCATTCTAAACCCACTGCTTAATATAATATAGTACAGGGAACAAAGAAAGCATTCAGTAAACATTTGTTCTTAAAAGTTCAATAAGGAGAAAAACAATGGTTTTGATTCGCTAGTCCATGTGGACACTGAAGTCATTAAGGACAATGATAGACCTTGGCCTAGATGGTGGCATGGAAGACAGGGCCTCAATGTATGGGGAGAATGACCATGAGGCCAGATAGGGGAAGATAAAGAGTAGTGCTATCAAACAAGGCTCAAAAGAGAAAACTTTTATATGGTGAAATTTTAAGTTGTGATACAGGCTACTCATCCCCATTCATCCTCTAATTTGAATCAATCTCCCACTATTCCCAATACCCCCAACCCAAACTTTTCCTGTGGGCCCTCAAGAAATGTATTCCACTGAAAATAATTCCCAAGACGTATCTTTTTCCTCAAATTCCCTCTGCATTCTTGCCTTAATTAAAAACTAAATTTCCCCTAATGATCCTACCTTCCTGACATTATATTTAATTCCCAAGGCCAATTCCAGCCCTTTCTCTGTTTTCGATTATTTAAATATTTCCTGGGTGGATTTTTTGTTTGTTTGTTTGGTTGGTTGCTGTTTTTTTGTTTGTTTGTTTAGTTTTGTCATAAACCAGTCATTCCTCTTCATTTATTTACAACTGCATTACAATCTGACTTTCTACCCCCATACCTGCCATCACCTTAGGTAACTTTCAGTTCAAGGAGACAGTTTGTCTAACACACTAGTATCTCAACTCTGTGATTACCACATTTCTGCCTTTTAAATTCATCCACACATTTATCCAACAAGTATTTATTGAGCAACTCTTGTGGGCCAGCACAATGCTTAAAACTGAGAATGACATAATGGCTTAGACATAGTCTATACTTATAAAACTTACCCTCTTCTATGAATAAAAGGCTGTGCAAAAGAAAAAAGTTTGAGGGCTAGATCATGTCTGCTTTATTCACCATAGTTTCACCAACACCTATCACTATACGTGGTGCCTAAGAGGAATTCAATACATAATGATTTGAATGAATTAAACTCATTTATAATACAATGTATGAAAAAGCACAGGATGCCATGAAAACTCAAAGGAGAGATGTATATGGAAAGTGGAAGAGAAGAAGTCAAAGTGTAATTATCAAAATATTAAAAACATAATTCTCATAAAATACATAGAAAGCAGGTGATATCATTTTAATTAACTCATACATCAGAGAAAGAGCAGATAACAAAACTGGTTCAAAACCAGTGAAAAAATCAATCCTATGATAAGACTGCTAAGCTAATGTTCCATCTACACTAATAAAAGACAAAGATGCTAATTGACTGTACCTTTGCTAGCCAAGCCATTCCCACTAGCCAATCAGAGCAACTATATGCAAATTAACCCAACCAAGATGGCAGCTGGCAGCCAGAGAGCTGGAGCAAGCAGGAGGCTTGGTTGCCCCGGAGATGGAGGAAGCCGTTTCCCGCCTGTGCAGCCAGCTGTGGTTGCCACAAAAGGCAACAAAGTTTTAATTATCTACACTAATAAAAGAGAAACATGCAAATTAACCACCACTCTGCTACACCCACAAGCCACACCCACCAGCCAATCAGGAGCAAGTATGCAAAATACTGGA